GCCATGGCAGCTCCCGCTGCTGCTCGCAGCCCTCTCCTGCTTGCCGGCTCCCAGCAGCTCCCAGCTCCTCTACTCCGTGCCCGAGGACCGAGAGCCGGGCTCCTCAGTGGGCGACCTGGCCAAGGACCTAGGGCTGGAGGTGCGGAGCCTGGCCGCCCGCAACCTGCGCCTGGTGAGCGAGGGTGGGCAACGGCACTTCCAGGTGGACCTGGCGGCGGGCGTGCTGCTGCTGGCCAGCAGGCTGGACCGGGAGGTTCTGTGCGGGCAGAGCCCCACGTGCTCCCTGCACCTCCAACTCGTCATGGAGAATCCCCTCCAGCTCCACCGTGTTGAGGTGGACGTCCTCGACGTGAACGACAACGCGCCCCAGTTCCCCAAGCCGGAGGTGGTCTTGGAGATCACTGAGGTAGCCAACCCTGGGACTCGGCTACCCCTGGAGGTAGCAGAAGACCCGGATATGGGCTCCAACTCCATCTCCACCTATGAGCTCAGCCTCAGTGAGCATTTCACCCTGAGTATCAACGTGAGAGGAGATGGTGTTAAAATGCCTGAGATGGTACTTGAAAAAGCACTGGATAGAGAGAAAGTGTCTGTTCATCACCTAACCCTGACAGCCCTGGATGGAGGGAATCCGGTGAAATCTGGCACTGCCAAGGTTACCATACATGTCCTGGATGCAAATGACAACCCTCCTGTCTGTGACCCACCCGTATCCAAGGTACATTTGGAGGAGAATGTGCCAGTGGGCACTCTGGTCACCAAGCTGAATGTCACTGACTTGGATGAAGGTCCCAACGGGGACGTGGAATATTCTTTCAAAACTAGCAATAATGCGCCTGGTAAATTCACCAAGCTGTTCTCCTTAGACCCCCGGACAGGGGAAATCAGAACCAAAGCCCCTCTGGATTATGAGGAATCCAGTGCTTATGAGATTGCAGTTCGAGCCAGGGACAAGGGTTCCCCAGCCATGGAAGGACACTGTCACCTGCGAGTGGAATTAATCGATATCAATGATAACAGCCCAGAGATCACGCTGACCTCTCTCTCCAGCCCAGTGCAGGAGGATGCAACCTCAGGAACTGTGATTGCCCTCATTGGTGTGAAGGACAGCGATTCTGGTGACAACGGGCAGGTCCGTCTGCAGATAGCAAAAGAGCTCCCATTTAAATTGGTGTCATCTTTTAAAGAGCACTTTTCGCTGGTCACAAATGGTCCCCTTGATAGGGAGAAGGCCAGTGGATACAACATCACGGTGAGGGCTGTGGATTCAGGATCCCCACAGAGGGCCACACAAAAAACCTTTTACCTCCGAATTGCTGACGTGAATGATAATGCACCGAATTTCTCCAGCCCTTTTGATACAGCCCATGTTCAGGAAAACTCCTTTCCTGGAACTTCTGTTTTTTCGGTGTCAGCATCTGATCCTGATGAGGGTAGCAACGCCAAGCTGTCTTACTCCATCCTGGACAATGGTATGCAGGATGTACCCATCTCAGCCTACTTCAGGATAGACCAGGACAATGGCACCATCTACACCATGAGGGCTCTGGACTATGAGCAAGACAAGGTGTTCCAGGTGCCTGTGGAAGTGAAGGATGCTGGGTCTCCTGTGCTGAGTAGCACTGCTGTGGTCCATGTGTTCGTCCTGGATGAGAACGACAATGCCCCCACCATTGTCTACCCATCCGTCCCCAAGGGCTCTGCCTTCCACCAAACCATCCCAGTCTTGGCAGAACCTGGCTATCTGGTCACCAAAATTGTAGCTGTTGATGCTGATAGTGGCCATAATGCCTGGCTGTCCTACCAGCTGCAGGAGACCGCAGAGATTTTGCCTTTCCAAGTGGAACACCGCTCTGGAGAGATAAGGGTTGCACAGGCTCTTAGGGAGTCAGAAGATCCCCACAGGCTGGTGGTTGAAGTGAGGGACAATGGGACACCATCCCTCTCGGCCTCCGTGATAATAGTCATTTCACCAGAGGAAAACAGTGTTCAGGACTTTGCCAAGTCCTTGGACCTCCCCAAATCTTCTCCCCAGGAGACCAACCTAACGCTTTACCTCATCATCTCCTTGGTGTCCATTTCCCTTGTGTCCTGCGTGATGTTTGCTGTGGTGGCTGCCCGGTGTCTCAAAGCTGGCACTGCCAGCTGGACCTTTGCGGATTGCTGCCGAGGGACTGGCCACAAGCCTGCCTCCCATTTCCGTGGGCAGATGAATCCAGATGGCTTCATCAAGTACCTGGATGTGGGAGGAGCAGGCTTGACCTCCCAGGCACAGAATTACACCTCTTGTTTCTCACCTATGTCTGACCAGAGTGATTTCCTCTTTGTAAAACCTTTCAGCCATTCTAGCACTGTGGAGACAGTGGCTGCCTACGAGCAGGTGACCAGCACCTTAACGAGTCCCTGCGACGGGGTAAGAGGGGGTTGTTTCTTACTGTCCTGTCCACTGGGCACAATGGTCCATAATATCTGGGCCAGCTGGCTGTTCTCTGTCTGTCCTTCCACCTAAGAAGGTGGCTTCAGGGCACGTGTGTCACTGTCACCTCCTGGGAGGTAGCAGGTGAAAGCTTTGGCTCAGCTTGATGGGAGTGGGGGAAGGGGCTGGGCGGCACTATAAAGTCAAAGACTGTTGTGTTTGTAGAAGTGGAGGGTTTTCCCCTGGCCCCGTTTATATTCTTTTATTTTTAAAGTGATTCTTAACATGGTCAGGAACATATTTTTTGTGTGTTTAACTTCTTGATTCTGCGTGGCATACAAACTGTGATGCGGGAGGATGTTATCTGAAAGCAAAGTTGTCAGTTTCCTTTACTCTGTTTTAGAGGTGCTTTGTAGAAATTTCTCAACTCCTAAGTGTTATTAATTACTGAGGGATCATTTTCCAGCTTGGTCATTTTAAGCGAGGGGCTGAATTCACTATTCATCACTAAATGTAGTGATATTATTTCACAAAGATCCTGGTGACCTTACATGCCCTTGGGTTTGTAGAGACCTAGGCAGTGGCGTGCTTTGAAAACTTTAGCCACTTGTATTCAGATGTCTAAATATGGATGTAGGTGACTGTATTTAGCTGTAGCTTTTATAACTTTGGGATATAAAAAGTAAAGTAATTTTGTGTCATAAATGCCTGTCCTAAATTTGAAAGTGGTAATTACAACAGGAATTCAAAATACAGATTGGGAAGGTCTTATCTAGTTCAGGATTGTGTGTCAGCGTGTGCAAAAATGTGTATCTGAAATCCGCAGGGCAAGTATTTTAACAGCTTAATTTGCATGCAGCATGGGTACCAGTGGGGCCTCTATTTTAGGGGAGTAATTTATTCTAATATATTCTTTCATAAGAATCATCAAAGCTGTGGAGAAATTAGTGAAATCACATTTACTAAATAAAAATCTAGGTCAGCTGTACCCATCTTCACTTTTCCTTAGTAATTGCATGTACAAGCAGAATAATCCTATAATATTGATGTTCTACTGTCTGGACTATGAACTGCTCATTCCTAAGGTTGTCCTTTCCAGGTAGCATGTTATCATTCTGGAGTTAATTAAGAAGATTATGATTTTCGGAAGTATGCATCTTCCAGACAGAAAACAGTTCTGCTACTTAGTGCTCTTCACAAAGGCGTGATTCAAACAGGAATACGCAAGCCTGCTTCATGTCCTTCCTTATTTACAAAATCTCTATTGTCTGATAGTAAAATAACACAGGCAGAAAGTGATATGGGGGCTTACTAATGAAGTTACAAAGTGTGCTGCTGTGTCCGAAGTTTACTGTGTCTCCTAAACAAATAATGCTTTTTTCTTTTGCTGTTGGAAGTTCATTCTTTTCTCTGTGGACAGAAAAATATTGTAATGCTCCAAGGGCGCAGCATCTAGGAAAAGTCATTCAAATACAATGTGTGAAATCAAGATCTCAGGCAGGCCTTTTTAAGGACAGAAGAAGGACAGATTAGGAAGGTCTGTTATCATTTTACCTTCTGGCATTAAAAGCATCCTTCTCAGTATCAATTAACTCTGCTACTCCCACCCTCCTCCAAGCTCATTACTTTGGTACCATTGCTTCTGCTGAATTGATGCCCTTATCAGTTTATTTCATGCTTCATTTCTTTCACAGCCTGGTTTCCTGAGCTGCTTTGGAAGATTATTCGCTGAATAGTTTTTGTCACCCTTTTTAGTATTCATGCTGGTTCAGAAATACTCAAGAAAGGGGGCAGGGAGCTTTCTTTTTGTTCTAATTGATTTGCTTTACTTGGAAAGAACACGCTGATATTCCAGACTGAAGTAACGCAGGATCAGTTCACTTTCATTTTCAAAGGCAAGAATGGAGGTATTAAAACAACTCTTCTATTTTCTCTGCAGCAAGCTCAGCCTAACACAGACTGGCGTTTCTCTCAGACCCAGAGACCTGGAACAAGTGGGTAAGTGCCTCTTTCTCCATATATGTCTGGCGAAGGTTTCTTTCATTTGCATGCCACTTTCAGGGCTGAAAAGTCCTCAACTCACAGCTCTGAGAATGGATGTTCCCTGTCATTGGGAGAACTGACCAGCCAAAGAGTCAGAAATAGGGCTGCTTCTATGTCAGCTTTGTTTGCTGGTGGTGTGACAGCTGTTGTTTGTTTTGGTGTCTACAGCTTAAGGAGGACAGTCAGGAATCAGAGGCAATTCCAGGTGAACTTATGAGATGGTTAAAGGACTGGAAAACATGCTTCACAGAGAAAGGCTTCTTTAAGGCAGATTTTGAGCATTTAGACTAGACTCAGAATCCAAAATCTTGATTATTCCCCTTGCTACTGGAAATCACTGTGTGAGTCCCTTTACCAGCCATGGATCCTTGAGCTCTGTGCTGCTGAAGTGTATTGCCTGCTCTGGCTTGAGCACCTCATGCCAAACCACTGTGTAGGACCCTGTAACAGCCAGAAGTTAAGTGAATGAGCCTGAGGTCCCCAAAGGCCCCTCTAGAAGAGTGTGTCCCAGCCATATCTAATGCAGCAGGAGCAGGTCCCTCATGCAATGCCACTGTATGTCCTTTCTCCTGTGGGCTAGTCTGGCTGAACTGGAGTTGGGACCCCCAGATCCAACTATATTTTTGGGGGAGTTTGGAATCTTTCTTGCGGTCCTTGGGAAGTACCATCACCAACACGGGGTGGTTTATCCAGGTGAGGAGCCTTCTGCATGCTTCCCACTGGAGCTGCACCACTGAGCAGATGGAGGCTAAAGAAGAAGAAGAAGAAATGAAACCTGTGAGTCAGAAGACTCACAAGAAGGATGTCTTCTAAGGTCTGGTCTTGCTCGCAAAACCATGGCTGAGTTTTTGCCAATTTTCATGTGATGTCAAAAAGATAAGAAACCCTGACAGAAGAGCAGCGACCTGCCTCCCAAGATAGTTCCTCTCTCTTGATTGTGCACTCTTTCCTCTGGCCCAACAAAGTTTGTTTTTCTTGGTCCACATGAGAAAGCACTGAGAAGAAAATGTTGAGCAGATGCCCTTCTCCTCTCACATCTTCCCTCCTGGTTCATAAGCAGGGTCAGGGATCCTTCTCAGATGGGGAACTTCCTTGAGGTTACTGTCTATGAGGAGACTGGGTCCAGGTTAATTTACATGTGAAAAAATTATATCCTTTGGGGCATACCCAAGAACTATACCCTTAGAGCAATCAGGAGTAAATTCAGATACTGTGCTTCCTTGGCTGGCTGGGTCAGGCCCTGTATCTCTGAGGAAAAGAGAGGAGCTCACACCACTGTGCTTTTGTCATTCCTGGTGACCACTCAGGCAGCTCCCTGGAGGTTTAAAGGGTACCACAGGGAGCATCAGGTTCTGGGTTTCAGTGTTGGAACTTACAGTTAAACATCTGCAGCAGCTGGTTGTGTCTGAGTCTTTCTCTGGGTCTGGCTCAGTAATTTAGCATAATAGAAAATTAGACTGCTATAACCAAGTTGTTACAGTGGTTAAACTTTGTTACTAGGCTTTTCTAGCTGACAAAGCTAAAATGGAGTGAGGGTCTGATGTAAAGTAGATAAAGCATTCCTACTAGAAACCAGCCATGGACTTTAAAACAAGGCTGTCGCTGGAACAGTTTTCTCAGAGGTCTGTTGAATTCCCCATCACTGACAACATTTTAATCAAGGAATATCTTTCTAACCATTTATGCTCTAGTTCAAATGACACTTAACAAAGCCCTGTTAATGCAGAAGTGCGCCAGAGCTGCTGTAATGGTTTGGTTATGAGAAGCGAGTAAATGAGCCCCATCAGAGCAGGCTTGATTACTGCCTGTTCTAGCATCATGCTGGAGCTCTTCAAGGCACAGAGCTGATGCAGTCCAGGCCTACTTAAGTCAGTGACAGGGACATTTTCTCAGGTCATGGGACAGTGACCTTCACTCCAGCCCCCAGCCTCTGCCTGAAGCTCCTTACAGCATGTGGGGTGGGAAGAGGGGGGGCAGGAGAAAAGGCAGCCTCAGAGACTGTTCATGGGGAGCTGGGCTAGCATGACATGTTTGGTTCTGGTGCACAAGCCGTGATGTTACCCTCGATGATCTGTGAGCTGGGTGCCCACAGTAGTCCCTGAAACAGACATCAGTGGCTCCTGTCGGTGCCTGTTGAGGGCTGTAGCATGGGCTGCCCAGGCTGGTCCCCGGGTTTGGAGAGGGACTTTGCCTAAGAACAGGCTGGTACTGAAATAAGTCAGTGGATTTTAATTCCTGTTGATTTTCCACACCTGTCTGTGTGCAGATTCCGCATTTTCAATGAAAGAGCTCTTGATGATTTTTTTTTCCTGTTTCTTTTATCTTGTTTTAAGTTAAATCAAGGGAGATGTTTTTATTCTAAACCTGTTACAATACTGAAGGATGGAAATACAAAGTTCGGCATGTTCAGTGCTCAGCTGATATCTCTCTTGTGATCAAACAGGCAAATCCTGAAGAGCAGTCCATTCCCTGTTGTGCTTTTCCCAGTGTTTTGATATCTGTTGTGTGAATTCCCCAGACACTGGTTGGTAGTACAGTTATTAAAGAGAGTGCAAGGCCAGCTGCTTGAGCCCTGTTACGCTCTCCAATGTTATCTCACTGTATATCCTGCTGTCAGGTGAAAATCTCTAGCTCTCTGAGCTGCAAAGCTTGGGGGACACAGACCACTAAAAAAAAAAAAAAAAAAAAAAAAAAAAAAAGGGATGTGCTCTTAACTGCATTTGTTTGACCCAAATTAAATACCAATAAAGACAAGAAAGCTTAGGCTAGTGGTTTGAATGGATCCCGGAGGGCAGTCCAGCACTGACCCTAAGCCAGAAAGCAGGCTTAAGCCCATGTTGTGATTTCTCTTTTACTGGGAGTTGGAGAAGGAACAATTCAGTCTTCTCTCAGCGTAGCCCTGCCCACCAAAACAAAGCCCACATGTCTCTGAGCACCTGGAAAACTCAGGATAAGCTCAATAGGGCAGGAACTGTCTCCTGATCTCATATATTGCTGCATTCAGGATGCTGTTACAACACAGCAAAGAGAATTTGATCTTTGTTCTGAAACACAGGAGAGCTGTGGCGCACATGCTCAGAAAATAAGAGCTCAGGCAATATCCTTTGAAAATGTAGTAGGGAGTCAGACTTGAGTAGACCAATTCTCCATTAATCTTGTTGGGAGAAAGAGAAGGATAGATTAATTCAAAAAAAAAAAAAAAAAAAAAAAAAAAGCAGCACCTGTGCTATCTCTGGGCAAATGTACATGAATACATGAATGATACTGAGCAGCAGATGCCATTGCCAGACAAATTAGATCAGTGGCTGGGCTGTAGTGGAGATTACAGCAATGAATTGTCCAAAGCGAAGGAGATGTACAGTCTGGCAGCATTGCAGAACATCCTTGTGGGGTCAGCAGTCCGGGGTCTCCCTGGTGGCACGTGGGGGTATGGAGGGAGAATGCAGGAACTGGGACTGGTACTTGTTGCTGTTTCACTAGTTGCCAAAGGAACAGAGATCAGGTTTGTGCCCTGTGTGTTCACGGTACTTGTCTTACCCCTGTAACTCCTTGTTTTGATCTCTGTGTGATGGTTTATTCAGGAAAACACCAGGATCAAGTCAGGATTTCCTTCCCAGAGGAGTGGGGAGGGTTCTGTGGTGCTCACAGGTGGGCATGGGAGGGTGAGACATCCCGGGCTGAGAAGTGCCAGTGTGTCCTGGGCAGCTCGTGGAGGAGTGGGGACAATCTCAGGCCATGTGGGCAGGCTAGAAGGAGATCCCAGGCAGGAGACACCCCAGAGACCATGGTGGGGGAACTCACAAGGAGATGGGAAGCCGTGTGGGAATTCCAAGTCACTCTGTGGGAAGGAGGAACAAAGCATGCAAAGAAGATACAGAGTATCATTTCACACCTCCTCTCTCCCGTTTGTTTTCTTTAATCCTAAATGTCTCGGTGCTACTGGTTTCCCACACTGTTGCAAGCCAGACTCCCCTTCCCAGGGCCAACACAGTTTGTTAAACAGCGTCACAGCCACCTGGTCTGACCCCGGCCATCATCACCCAGGCTGTGCAGAGGGAGGAAGGAGAGTGCAGCAAAAGGCTTTGCAGCAGACAGCAGAGGTGCCCATAGGAGAGCTATGAAGGAAAAGGGTTTTTCATTCTTTTTTTTCATTTTTATGCCCGAGCTCCAAGAGTTGGGCTTGCAGGGCTAATGACAGCCTGCCTGTGCATGGGAACCAGGGAGGGAAAAAAAGGTGTTCCAAGGATAGTCCTTAAAGCTCTCAGGAGTATTCTTGGCATGCAGAGTGTGCAGGTACCACCAAAGGGTGACTGCAGCTCGGGGGGCTTCTAGTGTGCGTTTGGGATGGGCAGGAGGTCCCACATAACAGCAGCACCCAGCAGCACCAAAACACGCTCCCATCAAAGGGACCCCACATGTGCGGGTCGGGGTGGGACATCTCAGAGCACACAGCAGCTGGGGCCAGAGGACAGAGGCAGAGGGACACACCGACGTTCATGGGTTTACACGGTGCGGGGGCACATACACAGCAGAAAGACTACTGGCCACTGATGCAGGCTTTAGCATGTCCTTCCTAAAAAAAAAATACTTGCTAACCCAGCAGCCACAGGCGTGTCTGCCGGTGTTGTAACCCCCGAGGAATTTACATTACAAGTTTGTGTAACATTACATAGTGGATACAGTAGCAAGTGCCACAAACCATATAGGCACAGCTGCACCAGTGGGGTTGTCTGGGTAAACACTGACAGATTGACCTTCTGTCCACATTTTGATTGAAAACGTTGTGAAAACTGACAGACTGACCTTCTGTTTTCATGGCCAAGCTGCAGCCTGAAGCAGTTCTTTCCCTCCCTTCCAGTGCTACCGCTGGGCTGCAGAGCCAGATCCCCGTGACTGTGACCCCTCTGTCCCTCTCATGCCCCACTATGGCTCTTATGGCGTCTTTTCATGGAAAC